TGTGTATTCAGTAGTATTGTGCCTACTGAAACAGGAACAGTTCTTTAACTAGTAGCTAGTATCATTATTACCATTGTTGCTGCCTAAGTGGTAAGGAATTTTAAGAAATTTATTTTTTGGTGGATAAATCTTGTTGCCTAGTGAGATTTGGCGGTTGTTAGTGAGTAAGCCAGCATTGTTATTTGAGAGAGCATGGCGCTGCCAAGTAATATTGTAGCCAGTAAAAGGCAAACTTTTTGGTGAACCTGTGGGACCTCACACCCTCAGAGATAGACAGCAATGACACGGAGAAATGTAGATGAATGTGTGATTGGCAGATTCAGAGTGGGTGACCACAGACAGCTACTGGTCAGCAGTTACTGAGTTGTCAGCTTTTTCTCTCATAAAATATCCACCCCAGGTAGCTTTCCTAGACAGACTTTGGGACTAGGTACATTGTGTCAATATTTTGTAAAGGACTTGTAGCCAAAGTGGAGGAAGCAGAGTAGGGTAGAGTGGGGTGTGTGTGGGGTGTGTGTGTGTGTGTGTGTGTGTGTGTTATATTTCTGAGGTGTTCTGTGAAGCTGGGATAAGGGTGAAGAAGGGTGTCTAGAATGCTAAAGGAGGGCCTCCCTGGTGGCTTAAGGGGTTAAGCACCGCACTGTGAAGCTGTCCGCAGCCTCTGCAGCATGAGTTTGATCCCCGGCCGGCCAGGGAGCTACCCACATGGCACAGCAGACCTCTCCTGTCTCACCCACTGCCCCCCTCAGCAGTGTATTTCAGTCAGTCTGCCTGTTCTGTTCCTCACTCTGTTCTGGTGAATCCTCTCACTCCCTGCACCTCTGGCCTGTACCCCAGCTCTTGTACGCATAAATAAATAAATCTTAAAAAAAGAATGCAGAAGGAAATAGTTTGGAATGGGTTCAGCCTGAATCTAGAATATGATAGAATTCATATTAAGTAAATTGTGGATTTCTAAATAATTTATAGAATTTGACTTTCACAATAAATGACTTTTTGCTGCATTTTTTTTTTTCTGGTAAAAGGTATTTGCTTGCAAATTATGAGGAACGTTTATCAGATAATAAGGTCACTGTTCTGTCTGTGTATGTATACACACACACACAATTATCTAAAGAAAGATGATTTTTTATCATTTGACGTTAATGAATTTTTAAGATTAGATTCCATGTAAAGCTTTTGTTACCAGAGTTATCTTTAAATGTCATCGTTAGCAATCCTGTTTTAAACAATATACTTCTTTAAAAAAATCAAATATTTAAAATTCAGGTGTAATTTTAAATGTTGGTTTGCAACACTGTTTTAGGTGTATAGATTTATACCTCTTCAAATGGATGTTACACACACCTCACCAAAGCACCAAGAGCCTCCACTGCAGGCCTTGCCCCAGCCTTCTCCTGTTTGTATTCCACATACGAGTGAAATCATCTGGTATTGACTTTATCCTTCTGACTTCTTTCACTGAGCATAATTCCCTCCAGTTATATCCATGTTGTTGCAAATGGCAGAATTTCCTTTTTATTTTCTTAATAGCTGAGTAGGATTCCATGGTGTGTATGGACCACATTGTCTTAATCCTAATCTCATCTGTCTTTGGGCACTTAGGTTGTTTCCATACCTTGACTGTTGTGAACAGTGATGCGTAGGAATGAGTCTGTCCCTTTGAACTCAGCAGTACACTTTATTTTATTTTTTTTTTTAAATTTTGCTAATTTATTTATTTATTTTTAAATAATAAATTTTATTTTTATATTCCCCATACAATTGCAGCCCCCCCATTCTGACCCCAATCCCTCCCTCCCGCCCCCGCCCCCCAAAAAGTGTCTCTGGTTCATAGTTGTTTGTTGATTTTGATTTTCACTTTCTTATAGTTATTCATTTTCCTGGTCCCTTATTTAAGTTTTCTAGATTCCTGCTATGAGTGAGACCATCCGGTATTTTTCTTTTTCTTTCTGGCTTATTTCGCTGAGCATGATCCCTTCCAGCGCCATCCATGTTGCTGCAAATGGCATGTGTTTATCTTTTTTGAATGCTGAGTAATATTCCATGGTGTATATGGACCACATCTTCTTGATCCAGTCATCTGTTTTTGGGCATTTGGGTTGTTTCCAAAGCTTAGCTATTGTAAACAGTGCTCAGCAGTACACTTTAGTGTAAGCATTAGAAAGGTTGCGTAAATACCAAGAAATACTTCATGAACACATTTTAAATTTATCTTTTTTGATATTTGGTTTACCCTTGATATACAACATATATAGTCCTTTAAAGTATTTAAAAAGGTATTGCCGATGATAGATGGAATTGGCCGTTCTTACATTATGAAGAATTATCTGTAGTTTTAGCAGTAAATTTTAATAGTTCTTCTACTTATTTATATGTGCATGTGTATATATATAAAATATATATAAATATTCCCTACTTAATATATAAATATATATAATTTACATATACATTATATATATAAAATATTCCCTACTTAAAGCTTAAACTTTTTTTTAAAGTTTGCTAAGGCAAAACAAAGTAGAGTTTTCGCCTAATTTTAGATCGTATTTTTCCTGGACAGAAAGTTCTGAATAAATATTCTTTAAATTAATCCTTTAGCCAGTGCGTTGTTACTGCAAGAAATTGTTCCTATTTTAGTGCATGGCTTTGGGTCTGAGGTAGTTCACTGCTGATATTACAGAATACTGCACCAAATATTCCTGGTTTTTAAATTTTGCTGGGTTCTCTCCCCACCTCCTCCCACCCCCCATAGATTATTAGTACGTGAATAAAAATCTTTAAACAGCTAACAGACACTTCACAGAGCGCTTGTGGGGGTACATTTCCTCAGATACTAGTGATGAATGTTTTCAGTTTTAAACCTGATATTAAAAATAGTGTTTTAAATTTGCATTTCTCTATACACTGATGTGCTTATGATCTTTGTCTTTCTATTTTGTGTGTTTAATTCCATGTTTTTTTTTTGTGGCACTGTTCATTTTTTCCTAATCATTTTCAGGAGTCTTTGTATATTACAAATAGTAATCCCTTATAGGGAACTATATCTTGTTTTAAATGAAAAATTTTTAACTGTTTTTTAAAATTTATGTAATATCACATATAATTTTCAGCACGTATCACTGAAAATCAGCATGTAGAATGTCCATTGTCGAATGCCCTGTGTCCTCTCCTTTCCCCAGTTCACCCGCTCCCTCTGTCCCTACCTTCTGGTAACCATTGATTAGCCTTATAGTCCAGAAGTTCATTTTTATTTTACATAGTTCATCTGTTTGTTTTCTCTATATAACACAAATGAGTAAAATCATACCGTGTTTGTCTTTTTCTGACTTATTTCATTGAGGTATAATTCCTTCTGGGTCAGTCCCTGTTGTTGCAAGTGGCAGTATTTTATCTTTTATGTGGCTGAATAGTATTCCACCATGCAGGTATACAACCTCTTTATCCGTTCATCAGTTGATGGGCACGTCAGTTTCAGTTCTTGGTTATTGTAAATAGTGCTACAGTAAACATGGAAGTGCGTATTTGTCTTTGAAGTACTTTTTGAGTAAATACCCAGAAGTGGGAAAACTGAATTGTAAGGAATTTCTAAGGATTTATTTTTATTTATTTATGCATACAAGAACTGGATTTTTTGAGGACTCTGCATACTGCTTTTCATAATGGCTGCATCAATTTATAATCCCACCAACAGTGTGTAAGTGTTACCTTCTGTCCACATTCTCTCCAACACTTGTTGTTTCTTGTCTTTTGGATGGTAGCCACTCTCACAGGTGTGAGGTCATGTCTCAGTGTTGTTTTGATTTTCGTTTCTCTAATAATATGATGATGAACATCTTTTCATGTGCCTATTGGCCATCTGTGTATCTTATTTGGAGATGTCTTCATCTGCTTATTTTTTTAAAAGATTGTTTGCTTTTTATTGTTTTATGATTTCTTAAATCTATATTTTGGATATTAGTTTCTTGTTGGATATGCATATATCTTCTCCCATTCAGTAGGATGTCTTTTCATTTTGATGGGACAGAGGCGCAGGGTCTTTTGGCTAGGTTAGCTGGGAATGCATTTCTTTTTTTTTTTTAAATAGAGGCATGTTTATTTATTTATTTGTTTGTTTGTTTTGTTTATACATGCACTGGGTACAGTCAGAAGTGTGGGAGGGTGAGAGAATTCACCAGAGCCAGAGTGGGGAGCAGAACAGGCAGAAGGACCGAAGTACAGTGCTGAGGGGAGCAGCGGGCGGCAGGAGAGGTCTGCACGCCATGTGGGACCCTCCTCCGGTGGCCGGGGAGCAGCCGGGGATCGAACCGGCGCTGCAGAGGCTGCAGGCAGCTTCGCAACCCGGCGCTCAACCGCTGCGCCACCGGGGAGGCCCTGGGAATGCATTTCTAGTGAGATTTTTATGTGGAGAATATGTTCTTGGGCAAGAAGCAGGATATTTGTGTGACTTAATTTGTTTAAAAATTAAAAAAAGTGGTGGGTGGAAGAAGGGATTTAAAATCTTTGGGGTCGTTATGCAAATTAAATGAAATAATTTATATAAAAACTATCTGTAACATAAATCCTAGCAATTCTAATTTCTTTCCCTTCCTTAAAGATATGAAATTATGGCTAACACTTTTTTCTTCTTGGCATTCGTCAAGTACTAATGTGTTACTCATACTCAAGGGTAGTTGCTCATACTTCTTATACAATACTTGATGAAGAGAAATGTCATTGAAAAAATACTAGACTAGATGTCAGGAGACCTGAGCTGTGTTCCAGATTGCCTGTCAACTGGTGGTATAACCTTTGATCAATCTTTGCTCTCTGGCCCCCATTTTGCTCATTTTTCGGTTGTCTATGAAATATTTTATGGAAATATATGGTCATTTTCTGATTAACTTAATAGAAGGTATAATGAGAAAACCCACACACAATTTTCACAATTACTCTTAATTATGTTGTTGAGTTCATCACCTTTTGTTCTAGAATTGTAATTTTTTTTTCTTTTAAACCAGGTTTAAGTATTGTGTAAGCTGCATCAATGGAGCACATACAGGGGGCCTGGAAGACGCTCAGCAATGGTTTTGGATTCAAAGATGCAGTGTTTGATGGCCCCAGCTGCATTTCACCTACAATCGTGCAGCAGTTTGGCTATCAGCGTCGGGCATCGGATGATGGCAAACTCACAGACTCTTCTAAGACAAACAACACTATCCGTGTTTTCTTACCAAACAAACAAAGAACAGTGGTATGTGAACATTCCTCTCAGAAAATCTAGCTGTCCATCTGCATGTAGAGAACATGGATATGACCCATCTTACAGACAGGCAAAATCTTCACTGTCGTTTAAGAAATGTCTTTATTACTTGACTTTCCAGTAATTCCTTCCAGGCCTGCTGCGTCCCTGTCCCCCCACCTCTTTGCTTTCCTTTTATTATTATTATTCTTGCCTGGAATGTTGTCTTTTCTGTCACTTCAAACAAAAGTACATTCTTATGGGGGTATAGTTCAAAAGCATTTTTTTAAAAAGCTCCCTTAGCCCTTTTATAATTTAAAAAAGAAAGAAAGAAAAACAATTTTCTTGAAATCAAAATGTTCAGTTAATTTCTTTTGGATACTCAATCAAATATAGAGAAGAAAATAAAATTACATATAAGATTATTCTGGTGTATTTCACAGGCCCCTTGCGAAGCTGGAGGGAATTCACAGACCACAGCGTTGGCTTCCTTTCAGGGCCCTGGAACCAGCCAGTTATTTCCTCATAGTTTATTTTTGTAGTACTAGTGACAGATTCATGTTGACGTCATGGCAGAACACTGCCCCTCGTTTTCTAACACAAAAGCCCCAACTTTTCTAAGAAATTTCTGCTCAAAAAGGTTTTCTACTGCCCTGAATAAAAACTCACCTGTTTGAAATAGAAAAGTGAAGTTGTGCTAATTTTGCTTGGTGGAACATTTGAGAAAATCTTAGTTCAAAACTTCTTTGTCTCCTTTTTCTCACCCTCCACATTCTTTGTGTAAAATCGATGTGTTTATTCTGTCCACCAGAGTGAGGCACAGTTCTGAGGTTGGTTAAGTCCGGTCTGGAGTTTTTTCTCAGTTGGTTTTTAACGAATCTCCTCAGTTTTCTTTATGCTTCTCTTGTGGAGCTAAGAAGCTGTACGTTTTGAAGTAAAGGCAAAAATTCAAAAGGCAAATATAATTAGTAACACTTTCCTGTAGTTCAACATGTTTCATTTGCAGAATGCTCCTTACCTACCTTTTCTCATTAATTTTCTTTCTGATAGTAAATGAAGCGCGCAGGTGGGAAGTGTGAGTGTGGTGGGAAGCTGAAGACTCAGCAGGTGCTGTCTCTGGGTGTTACTGAGGCTCTCCGCTCCATCCCCATCTACTACCAGTTTGCCCGGAGGACTGGGAGAAGTAGTTTGGCTTAGTGACTGTGTGCAGGAACCTTGAAGACAGCCAGGCTCAAATTTAAAGCCCTATTTTGCCTTTTATAAGCTGTATCATCTAGACACGTTGCATAATATTCTGATCTTTAAGAAGGGAGTCTCATGCCGAATACAGTGACCAAGTGACTAATTCCTAAGTTGTATGTATGTAGCTGTGATTATTTTTCTGTATTTGTCTAGTCCTTGACACCTTTCATTTCAGCATGGCGGCTGGTGGTTGGGAACCAGGGAGCTGGAAGCTTGACTTCTACAGTGTATGAGAAGATTCTGGCAGAGTTGGTCCTGTTTTTTGGTGAGAACTAGCTGTTTTCACCAGGTACCCAGCTGCAGAGGAGCACTGCAGGAGGGCGGAGAGTCCCCTGTGGCCAGCACTGTCAGCTGTTTCTGCCCCGGGTCACTTCACTGCTGTGACTGGAGTAACTTTCATTGTCCTCAGTGGGCTCCAGAGACTCCTCACATTTCACGGTATATCCATTGGGAAGCTGTAAAGAGGAGAATGACAGAGGGAATAGGATGTGGGTATGATTTAAAAAATTGTAGAAGGAATAATTAGTAGTTTTTATTTTTGCAGATCAAAGACAGGGTGTATCTTTTTTTTTTTTTAATTGCGGTAGCACTGGCTTCCTACACTGTTTACGGCTCGCATCTCCTTGGGTGTGTGCCGCCGTGCCAGAGCCTTCCAGTCGCCCTTACCCCAGGCCGCTGAGCTCCCTCCCTGCTTTGTTGCCACCCCCACCTTCCTTCTGATTCTTCCTTCTGATTCATGGTTCAGTTTTGTCAGTTCCCTGTTTTCTTTCTCTGTATTCCACTTAGGAGTGAAATCATCTGGTATTTCTTTCTCCTTCTGAACTTAGCATCGTCCCCTGAAGCTTAATCTTCGTCACAAATGGCAGGAGTTCATTTTTTTACAATAGCTGAGTAGTATTCCAGTGTGACCGTGTACCACATCTCCTTAGTCCGCTCCTCTGTCTGGGTCTTGGGTTAATCAGTAGTTAAAATTTTTTTTAACTTGTTTTGTAAGCATACTCTGTGACTGAGTGCTGCTGCCCAGGGTAATGCCTCGATGAGTAGTGGCCCATAGCTGAGGACTGTTCGTTACTACCAGAATCAGCTGACAAGCAGGTTAAATGCAGATTCTTGGGCTTCATCCCAGAGTGATGAAACAGACTCTACGTGCGGGAGGGGAATGAGGCTGGGAATTTATATATTTTCATAAACTCGTTGGATGATTCAAATCCAGCCACACTTGGGAGCCACACTAGAGGAAGTAAGTGACTCTCTGACTCTTAGGGTTGGTGACTTCCAGTGAAGATCAGTGATTTCATACAGGGAGAACTTTACAGTTTTCAGAGGGGGGTATGTGTGGGTGTGTTCCTCTTTGTTGTCCTCGGTGTCTTGTCTTCACAGTTCAGACCGTACAGCTCATTTTGTGTTGTTTCTGAGGAACTGGAAGTTAGTGGGAAACCTTTAAAATAAACTTGCTAATGGAACATTTTGAGTTATACTTAGAGATATTTCAAACCTTTAAATTGGATACAAATATATGCTCATGCCCTCTGGGGAGGGGCGGGGTGGCTGTTGTCAGCTGTTAAACTCTCACCTGGGAGGCTCACCAGCGCCACACGTCTATGCTCTGCTCTCCTTGCTGTCCATGTGGACGCTAGTGGCTTCCTTTTGATTAGCTTTATTGGCTTTAAAATCCAATAGCTAGGGTTTAAAAATCAAATCTCTTCAGATCTTAGTGGAGGTTTTTACATAGCTGCCATTATTTGCACCCTAGGCACTCACACTGCCTGCTGGGCCTCTGAGTGCTTGCCTGCCTTTTGTGCCTTTTGGGCACATGGGAACGTGGAGGGTGTAAACTGCTGAGACAACCTGCAGTGTTGGTGTGCCTGTGGGGAGGAACGGGCAGTGGTGCTTGTCTTCATTGCAAGCAGAAGCACTGGCCTTTCCGTTTCTATTTTCCTTCAGTGGTGTAAAGCGCTTATGACAAGGAATATTTGTTAGGAAAGTCAGCTGGTTGAAATACAGATTTTATTTTAAAGATTTATTTATACAAGAACTGGGGTACAGGCCAGATATGTGGGGGTGAGAGGATTCATCAGAGACAGAGTAGGGAGCAGAACAGGCAGATGTACTGAAATACACTGCTGAGGGGAGCAGTAGGCAAGTCAGGAGAGGTCTGCTGCGCCATGTGGGTAGCTCCCTGCCTGGCCAGGATCGAACCCTCATTGCAGAGGCTGCAGACAGCTTCATAGCGCCGTGCTCAACTCACTGCGCCACCGGGGAGGCCCAAAATACAGATTTTGATCTGAAGAACTCATGTTTGTTTTTAGATCAGATTGTCTTATTTTTTTTTTCCGGTGGATGTTCATGCTCCCATGTACATTTCAGTGAGTCAGACAAGTGAGAGCTGTTTTATCTCCTACCTGCTTTCCTCATGGTCCTGTCTATCTCTTCACACTCATAAGACACCTAGAAACATGTAATATATAGTTTCCCTACCCTTTAAACAATCTTGCTCTTTGTATCATTCTGAAAAATATTTCACCCCAACATCATAGACCCCCCCCCACCCCCGCCCAGGGTGCCTTAACGCACTCTGCAACATTAGGTTGTCTCTGCTCTGTGTTTACCTCTGTCATAAGTCTTCTACATAGTCCCTTTGTTTCTCTGCTCACCTTTCTAAGGGGTGTGCAGCCTGTGTTGGTCTCAAAGATGATCCTTTGTTTGTAGGTCAATGTGCGAAATGGAATGAGCTTGCATGACTGCCTTATGAAAGCACTCAAAGTGAGGGGCCTGCAACCTGAGTGCTGCGCGGTGTTCAGACTCCTCCACGAACAAAAAGGGTAAGAGATCAGACGTCACTCAGCTGCTGCTTTATGCAAGTCTTCTAGCTCAAATAACGCCTTCCATTTTAAAAATGTGTGCAAACTTCCTACAGAACACTGTATATTTATATATCTTTGTTTATAAAGAGATAGCTCGGAAAAAGAATACTGAAAACTTGAAATTAACGATTGAAGAGTATCTTGAAAAATGAAATACATGTTAGGCGTTGATTGTGTTTCCATAGAGGAAATAGCAGTGTCTGATGTTGCGTGTCTTGAGAACAAAGACTTTTGTTTGCTCTGATGCAGTGTGCAGAGCGGTGCTGGGAAACTGCCTGCATGAAAAAGACTAGCCTCCTGTGAGCGACTGTTTTGTCACCCACTCATTTTTATTTACCTAACACCAAAATCTCTGCAGTTTGATAGACACAGGGCTAAAAAGATGGAGGGTGATTTCTGCTTCAAGGAAGAGCTGTGGTTCATCTTATTTCTGATAGTAGTAGCAAGATCGAGGGATCCTCTCAAAGACTAGGAGCAGTACTCCCTAGTGTCCGGTGTCTTTACCCGTTTTCCACTATTACCCTCATCCCTGTCCCTCCCCCCAGTCTGGGAAAAGAACCTTAATTTTACCCTCTTCTCGAAAGTGTTAATGTTAATGTCTTTTATTGATCTTCAGCTTGCATTTTTTTTATGTTTCAAGGTGTCATCTTAGGGAATGAGTCTGCTCCAAAGGGTGAGCGTTGATTCCTCTATTTATTTTATCCCTCTCAGCTTGGGAGGCAGATTGTTGAAGTGTATGTCTTTGACACAGATGCAAGTTTTATCTGGGCTTCGCCTCAGGGCAGTCCCCAGGCCTGCCTGCAGTGCTCCTGAAAGACAAGAGCCATCCTGACACAGGGAGGGGTTTCTCCATTCTCATCCAAGGTGGCCCTGATTTGAAGCTGCCCTAGGTTCTGTCTTGGACAGACGGCATCCAAAGACTGATCAGAAAACAGACTGCTCTCCTCGCCATCAGGACAGAACAGGACTCTGTAGTGATGGGGGTTTTCCCAGGGAATTATATTAAGGGATGGATTATTTATTGTTGGATAACCAGAAAAATGGCTGGAATCAGCTTCTCACAGATGATGGGGGAATGTTGAGTATTGCTATATATGTTTTTCTCTCCCTGTCTGAGAATATTCTACTTTCAGAAGACAGGCCAGATTAACTAGACAAGACACGAGAAAGGAATTGGGCATTACTTTTTCACTTATATGTCCTGTTTTTTTTTTTTTTTTTTTAATCTTGGTTAGGCACAGAAAATAAATTTTAAGACTATTAAGACTCAGTAACTTTTAAGACATTTGTCTTACATCAAACTATATTTATACAAACTCTGCATATTTTACAGACTCGAGTGTTAATATTAAAGTGCATTTCCTTTGTGCTTCCTTGGTACACATCTTCTAGATGGACGTAGGCAAGTGAAGATTAAATGTTGCTGCTGTATCCATGTTTATCACCCTTTTTATAGGATTTTAATGTCAAAGTCCAGTTTATTACATGTTTACTGTGAGATTGTTATACCTTATTGTTAAAAGAAAATCTTATTCCAAGAGCACAAACTTTGGAGTCCAACAGACTTGGAGTCCGGCGTAGCCCTGACACTTGTGGGGACAGGGACCAAGACGCCTGCTCAGAGCCACAGTTCTCAGATAATAAGATTGAGGATAATAATACCTACTTTACAGATTTGTTGTATGAATTAGATGAAGTTAGTGTGTGGGATTAAAGTTTTATGTGTATGTAGGAGGAGATGAGTGATAGCTAATGCATGCTTACTTCGTTTAGATATTTCCCTTTCATACTGTCTTTTTAAAATTTCCCTTTAGTAAAAAAGCACGATTAGATTGGAATACTGATGCAGCCTCACTGATTGGAGAAGAGCTTCAAGTAGATTTCCTGGATCATGTCCCGCTCACAACACACAACTTTGTAAGTGGCGGACCTCTTCTCTCTTTGTCGCATGTGGACTTTAACTGACATAATAGGAATTTCTCAGAAGTAACACACATACATTTTGTTGACTAGTTTGAAGCTCTAGTTATGCCACTTTTTATGGTAAGGCCACTTAGTTTTCATTAGTCACAGATACACTGTAATTTCCAACGAATTTTACAAATATTGGAAGTGTGATTCCTCATTCTGTGAAATCTTCTGAGGGTCAAGAATTGTTTTGTCTTTTGTTAGCTTTCATTTATTAAGCCAAATTTATACCTTGTGTTCTTGTTCTCCAGGCGCGGAAGACTTTCCTGAAGCTTGCCTTCTGTGACATCTGTCAGAAGTTCCTGCTAAATGGATTTCGATGTCAGACTTGTGGCTACAAATTTCACGAGCATTGTAGCACCAAAGTACCTACTATGTGTGTGGACTGGAGTAACATCAGACAACTCTTGTAAGGCTGTTACTCTTTTTTCAAAGAATATAAGAGGGCAGAAAAGTGTGAACTCTTGAAGTTGCTTGTTGTTTGTTTGGCCGACAAGTCAGGGATCTAGACTTACAGACTGAATTGTGGTTTGGAAACCATCTACTTTAGAAACATGACAGTTCTAAGTGTTACCTCTCTAAAACAAGCAGGTGGGACTGTAATCTGTCATGTTGAGACTGATGTGCTGTGGTTCAGGAAGGGAAAGAAAACGACATGAAGCAAAAAGATCTTTGACTTTTACCAGTTTCAGCTTTTAGGTTCTTAGTCTTAGAGAGACTACTGTGTATTATATTAAATACGCTGAACAGATTTCGCGACAGTGAGGACAGGTAGAACGTATGGTTAGTACTATTTTCTTCACCTAGCACTGGAGAAAACATTAGACTTAAAATGGCTTGAATGGCTCATCTTGCAAGAGAGTCGTATCTGTTAGGAGACAAACTAGGGACCAAAATATATTTCATGTAGACAGAATATTGTTCGGTAAGGCTTAAATTAAAAGTATACGTTCTAAGTGTCTTTTAAAAACTACTAACAGGGCCTCCCCTGGTGGCGCAGCAGTTGAGCGCTGGGCTGCGAGGCTGCCCGCAGCCTCTGCAGCGCCAGTTCGTTCCCCGGCTGCCAGCGAGGGTCTCACAAAAAAATAAAAATTAAAAATTAAAACTACTAACAGTATATGAAGTCAGAATTGAAGTTTTAGTCTTCTTTTGTGGGTCCTTGAAAAACTCGGGGAGAGCTGTCATTGAACCATGGCGGGGACCTGTCTTGCTTTCAGGGTAGTCTTGTGTCTCTTGCACAAAGAGCTTGTGTAGCGGAAGCGGCACAAGCTTTGGAGTTCAGGAGACATTGTCAGAACCTCAGTGTTGTCATTGACTGGCTGTAACCACTTCTGAGCCTCTGTTCACTTACCTGAGTAAAGGGGGGCGGGGGCACGGTTGCCTTCCTTGCAGCCTGCTCGCGAGGAAGGCAGACCATGTGGAATGACTGAGTACAAGGACTCGCCCCATGGGACGAAGGTGCCCGGTGAACCGCAGTGTCGCTTTGACCTACGACTTCTGGTCCGAGTAGGACTTAGTCTTCATATTTCAGTCTTCTGTCTGTGTGTTTCCAAAATACAGTTTCCGGAGAAGATGTATGGGATTTAGGTCACAAAGTGCCTACTGTAGCTTTCAAAACCCTTACTTTGGTACAGCCGGACGGTGGTCCCGGGTCTCCGAGAATCGCACACTAGAGCGCTGTGTGCTTGGGCGGCTCAGCAGTGCGCGCCTCTGCGGTCCTTCAGACCAGTCCTGCGGCTTGGTGTGGCCTCTGGCCCTGGGCAGCCTTTGTGCGACGAGGGAAAGTTCACTTTGAGTAGCTGTGAGTTTGTGAAGCAAGGCAGGTTGACTCTAAAAGTACTTCAAGTCTGTAAACTGGTTTTCTCTGATTTCATTTAGATTGTTCCCTAATTCCATCGTTGGTGAGAGTGGGGTCCCAGCTCTACCCTCTCTGACGATGCGTCGGATGCGAGAGTCTGTTTCCCGGATGCCTGTTAGGTAATCTTCTCACCCACAGCTTTTCTTTTGGGCGATTGTATTGTGGCAGGTGGGGCCGAGAGCATCTGAACGGAAAACACGAGCGTTCCTTCGCAGTTCCTCCTGTCTCGGCGAGCGCTGAGCTGCTTCTGAGGAACTTAATTAGTCAGAACAAAATGTGAACTTTCTCTTTGTGGTTTGCAGTTTTTACCTTCAGGAAGGTGAATCTTGACTACAGTTTCTTCTGTTATCATAATTCCCTTAATATCTTCACATATTAAAGAGCTTGAGATTTTTGCCTTCTGAGTGTGTGGTAAGTTGAGCCTCAGGGAAGGGGTCTAAAACTATGTACAGTAATTCAATAAAAATAAAACCCTCAACTTTGAAATGCCTGTGGCCTTCCATTGCTAAAGCCATGGTGTCTAGTAGACTGTTAGTAAAATAAATAAATAAAAAAATAAGATTTTAATATAATTATCCTTTCCAGTGTGCCTGTGACTTTACACATAACTTGTCTTTGCTCTGTTTTTTAACTTTAAAATCAGAGATTTGTTGAGTTCATGTCTCATCTCACTTTACACATGAATTTGGAACCTAAAATAAAATTTGTATCTTCGTTCGAAGTATATAACTATGTATATGTAATTGTATATTATTTACTGGCCTTTGTAAAATTGCTAAAATCAGCCTATCTCAGGACAAAGACTTTGTATTGAAATGATACCTTGGTTATTTTGCTTGCTAACTAGAAAAGCAAATATGACCCAAATTTGTATTTTTTTCTGAGTATTTCATGGAGGAAGCCTGGCCTCTGAAGGCATATATGTTGTTACCTACGAGGGCAATTTTTCATGGCACTAGAGCACTTTCTCTTAGAAAAACTCGTCTTTTATCTCTTGAATTCATACTTGAATCTGAACAAAACTCAAATTAATCTTTTTTTTTTTTTTTCCAAATTAATCTTTAAATCATATAAGGACACCTTAGGCTTCATGCATGGCATGTTCCTAAGTTTGGTTGGTGAATGACATAGGCTGAAAGAGGCCAGTGGTTAGTTTTAGGTAGATATTGCAAATAAACTGAAGTCGTATTCATTGGCTTTAAGCTGTTATGGGGGCGAAGAGGCACGGCGCATGGAACACTGGCCTTTCACGGACGTGCTCAGCAGGTCTAACTATGTTTAAAAAGTTTCTATTCTCTGAACTGGGCAAGTTCCAACTAGTTTAATAGGTAGTGGTGTGGTTGGCAAATGCTAATATGTTCTCTTCTAGAGATGGTCTGAATTTTTGGAGTCTTGAAGAAAACTTATATGCCCTTATGTGAATTCCAAGCACAATGTAATTATTTCCTTTTCAAAAATACATATACACAAGCACCAAACAAAAGAGAATTCTTCCAGAAGTTAAACAGTACAGTTAGGGTTTACCACTGAGTATCTTTTTTTTTTTTAAAGATTTATTCATTTATGCATAGAAGAACTGGGGTACAGGCCAGAGGTGCGGGGTTGGGGGGCGGTGAGAGGATCTACCAGAGACAGTGGGGAACAGAACAGGCAGACTGACTGAAATCCACTGCTGAGGGAGCAGCAGGAGAAACAGGAGAGGTCTCCTGCGCCATGAGGGTAGCTCCCTGGCTGGGGATCGAACTGCAGCGGATGTTAATGCTTGGCAGCTCTGTCTTCCACGCCTACGCCACCAGGGAGGCCCCACCGCTGAGTAGCTTAATGAAGCAGGCAGTGGGACCAGTAGGACTGCAGGAGTGTCCCTCACGGAATCTTTTCCTTCTCCTTGCCTAGTTCCCAGCACAGATACTCCACACCCCACGCCTTCACGTTCAGCGCCTCCAGCCCGTCTTCTGAAGGGTCTCTCTCCCAGAGGCAGAGGTCCACGTCCACGCCTAATGTCCACATGGTCAGCACCACTATGCCTGTGGACAGCAGGATGATCGAGGTAATAGGCCCCTGAGGGAGGTGGAATCAGCCGGTCTTTGCGGGAGGGCTGACTGCCGTGTCAGAGAATTTTGGGTTTCCTGATGAGAAATGGTGCCGCTCGTTCTCAGGTCCCTGAACTTTGTGAATGTTCTTTTTTTTACCCACTGCATCTGGCTAAATACAGTCCACTTGGCATCGCCATTCAAATGGAGAGCTAACTTTTCCTCAAGAAGTGTGGACACTGGAACTCTATTCCGTGTCAAAATCGATAAAATTTCAGTGAGCTAGTGAATAAGAATACATAAAGGATACTTTCATCTGACGTGGGGAAGAAGATAAGGATGGGGAACTACAAATTCTCTGAAAGACTTTAAGCGATTTTATAGAAAGGAAAGGATTGTAATGAAGCAGGTATTTAGGGGAGCTGTGCAGTGCCCAGAGCTAGTGTTTCCAAACTGCCTTTTCTTGGCTTTTTGGTATGTTCTGTTTGTTTGTTTTGCTTTCTAGTTCATCTTTAATAACAACTGAATACACTTAAAATACTTCCTTTGTTCTTTATTCTTCTTTATTTCTCATTGCTTTGGACTAGAATAACAGCCTGCATGCTTCTCCCAGGGCGTGGTCCAGACGGTTTTGTTTGAGGGGAAGAGTAGGTATTTTTTTCATGCCTTTGCTTTCTTGTAAATTAGCAGGATTGCTGAGACTGTCAGAGAGTAGACTCAAAAATGAAAGAACTGCTAAGTTAAATTTTACATTTCTTAGACTTGTTTTCATGTTTGGCAGCAGAGTGCACAGGAGTAAAAAAAAAAAAAAATAACAACCCGAACTGTGTACTGCCGATAGGTGAAGTTTCTCAAGTGAAATTTTTGAGGCCAAGAACATTAAAATTTAAAATCTCATTTCCAATCAAAGATGAGTGCTAGATTTACTTAGTTGGTGCATACAGCATCACCTCTAGTTATAGACCTCATTTAAAAACCAAATGTGTCATTTTTGTTGCTGCCCTGAAAATCTTGTTACAAGCTTATCAAAGACAGCTGTGCTTTCTGCATGTCATGAATTGTTGGAAAACCTCAGGGACACCGCCACTTCAGGCGCAGCCTACCTCACTCGGGCCTCAAATCACTTTGCACAAATGTCCTACCAGTCAGAGGTAGGAGGGGCTCAGCAAGTTGACTTTGAATGTGGGGCCTAAGCTGGTCATTCATGGGCACTTTTAGTATCAGGATTATAGAGAGGAGATGGTTTGTGTGTATATGGAATGTAAGCTACGTTTTACTTTATCATGATTAGCCCTGATGATAAAACAGTAACGTATACCAGTTAATTCTGTTAGGATGTAGTCCCCTGTAAACACTCTGATACTTAGGGGAACATTAAAACTGGAAATTCTTGAAATTTTGCTGTAAAATAAGTAGCACATCAGATCTCTAACTTAGAGGCCGAATGAATTTTGATTCCTGGTTGGTTTGTTTTTTTAATCACATGGGATTCAGCATTTTAAAATATACATTCTTGGCCTTAGTTAAATCATTTGTTGTAGTTCTCTTTTTAATATTTAGACTCCAAGAGGAGTGAAAAATTTCTTTTGGATAAATTAGTCCAACGTAGACCGTTAGCCCAGAATATAATATGAAGTATATAATGGAAAGGGAAGAAAATTGTTGTGACATTAAGAAAAAAATTCTACTGCATGGGAATATAATTCTGGCCAATAATAATACATTGTGCCGTGCTTCGACCAAAACAAGAGTAGATTAATTGAATAATCGAGCTACAAGTCCTGAGTATTCTGTTGAAATTCAGATTATTTTTGACCCATGTTTTGCCCATCTGGCAGCCACCTCGTGGCACTGACAAGCATATTCGTGGGCTTCCCAGCTTCCCTGCCACAGGAGCTTCCTCACTGCTAGTGAGGCACGTGTGTTGGGAATCCACATTCTTAAACCCCTCTCGAAGACTAGACAGATCGGGAACCCTGGAACCAGGCTTTGTTGGTAGACTCAGAAGATGCTTGTGCAGCTGCTGGAGGGAGGAGCAGCTTGGCTTATGATTCTTGTTACTGTTATCGTGCAAAGATGTAGAGTGGGAACATTCCAGTAATAATTATATGGAAAAGTATCTTTACTATGGTCATACCAAAAAAAAAAAAGGCCAAGCATAGGACTCCCAGGAAAATGTCCACACCTTTTTGAGGGTGTGGGGGCCAAGTGATTTTAATATTTATAAGCTCGAAGTGAGGGGTTATGAGAATTTAGGTCTGGTGGAGGCCTCTGTGATTTAAATTTCTCCAGTTCCCACTAAATTCTGAAGGTAGTTTTTGACTCCCCAGATGAGTAGAAAGTAACTCATTTCTGAGCTTGTCCGTAGGCGTGAGGACCATTTTGTGGGGTTCCCGAGCCCCGGGCAGTGATCTGGGTGATGGTTTCAGGTTCTCTTTCTGCCCCCTGCTGGCGGCGCGGGCCTGGCCTGTGTCTTCACCTGCTTGCTTCGCGTGAGCGACTGGCGGGTTTCGGTCCTTCCGGCTTTCCCTGGTTTCAGGCTCTGAAAATGGACGTGGTCATCAGACCCCCTCTGGGCCAGTGTGCGCTAAGCCTCCAGACGAGTGAGCGCAGGGTGGCCACGACGCCCGGGGCAGGGGTGGTGTCTGGAGGCTCAGCGAGCAGGGCTCCCCGTCACCGAGCGACTTTGCTCACGTTTCCGAGGGAGTGGCTCTGCTGTGTGCACTGCTTTTTGCTCAGAAAAAGAATGTGGCTTCCATTGTGTGTGCAGCATCACCATCATTCCCCAGGTTTGGTCGCACAGTGGGCGATCCTGGCGACCGACATGGGGTGGATTTAATCAAAGGAAAGTTAGAGTGTATAATTAGACCGTTTGTATTTTAGAGGTTTTATAATCCACTCTGTTCCTGCAAACCTGCTCCCTTTTCCCTTCCCCAGAGAACAGCTTCTCTAGGGTAGAGATTGACCAGCTTCCTTTTCTGTTGCAGGACGCAATTCGAAGTCACAGTGAATCAGGTACTTGTCCAGAGTCATTTAGCAACTAGTAATGGGCTTTTTCTCTTTATGCTGTGTATCTTCTGTTGCTTATCCACGTGTGGATTCTGTTTGTCTCGTCTATTAAGCCTCACCTTCAGCCTTGTCCAGCAGCCCCAACAATCTGAGCCCAACGGGCTGGTCTCAACCCAAAGCCCCCGTGCCGGCACAGAGGGAACGCGCGCCAGGGTCCGGGACCCAGGAGAAGAACAAAATTGTGAGTGTGGCCCACAACACCTGCTGAATCCTAAAGAAAAACACTTGGAAATTAGAAGGCTTTCACTGGGGGGGGGGGGGGGGGGCGCGGGTGAGATGCTAGTGAGCACTGACTGTCAGCGCGGGGCTGGGCGCGCGCGGAGACGGGAAGACACAAACTGCAGTTACAGGTAATGGGGGGAGGCGGGCTGGGTTGGTCTCCTGGACACCTGTCAGGCAGACGTGCACGGGTCCGTGGCGTGTAGTCACGAGAGCTGCTTGTTTCAGAGGCCTCGTGGACAGAGAGATTCGAGCTATTACTGGGAGATCGAAGCCAGCGAGGTGATGCTCTCCACGCGGATCGGGTCGGGCTCCTTCGGGACTGTGTACAAGGGCAAGTGGCACGGTGAGTTGTCCCCTCCCCGACTGCAGGGCCCAGGGGAGAGTCCAGATTCTCTCTGCAGACGGCCAGGTTTCCTTGGCCTCTGCTTTTCCCTCCTTCCCCCCCAGACCACGGCTTCCTTTCTCGGGGGCCAGCAGGAAAGTCCAGTGCTCCTTGCTCCTCTGGCTTCTGAGACTGCTAACTCAGAATTTTAAGCGCATCATTTTGTCTACATCCTTAACGCAGTGTCTGTGGAAGCACCCCCAGCCCGGTCCCGTCGCAGCAGTCCTTCGAGTGTTACCTGTAATTGAGGCGCATGGGTTATTAGAGGCGGCCTCTGGGTTTTGTCAGAAGTTGCACGTTTCGTTACCCAACTTCACCATGAAGCGCGCGTGGCTGGGCCCTGGCTGGCGTGGCTGTCTTGGTTTGACTTGTCTTCCCGTGGCCACTGGCCGGAGGACTCGGTGCTGTGGGGTGTGCGTGTGGGTCTGGGGAACAGGATTTGGGAAGATGGGAGGGTCTGAAGTGGCTGTGATGGCGGTACGAGCAGGAACTTTCACCCGGAAGAGTCCTGGTCACTGTTACAAAGAGTAGAAGCAGAGGTGGAGGACGTTCAGCTGACGGAGGTCAGAGCCGGTCTGTGAGTGGGGTGTGGCTGCCCGTGGTCCTCGGTCGCACACTAGGGGGGGTGACAGCGGCGAGTTGTGACCAGTGCAGGCTCAGAGGAGAGCTTGGGGCAGGGAAGCGCTCGCAGAGCCAGGCTCGGGAACGGGCGAGGTCCCCAGCAGCTGCCCTTCCTGATGGCCCATCCAGGGTCTCCCCAAACCTTCCTGAACCCCCTCCCTTTTAAAGCTCTCCCCAGTGCCGGGGGCACCAGCACTGCCATCTTTGTGGCCCTGCCCTCACTTGACTCGCATCAGGTCAGTTCACCTTTGTAGGGTTTCCTGCCTCTGTCTGCTTCCTGTTCCCCCGGTCGCCACTGCTGCTCCTGGCCTGGCCTTCCGATCCTTCAGGAGCCCAGCTCACCCGCAGGCGTTTCTCTCAACGCTCACCTTCTCCCTGGGACACCTGCTTCGGAACAGCCTCCCTCCCCTTTCCTGAGATCTGTTCGATGACTTCTCCTTCCTTTGTGAGAGATTTACCTGCCCGGCCCCGCCCCCCAGCACTCCCGCGCGTGGCTCCCTACCACAGAAGGAGCCGTTAGCCAGGCCCCCGACTTTCTACTCAGTCATCAGAACTTGGGTTCGGGTCCCCTGTGGTTTCCCAGTCTGGTCTTCCTGACTCGCGCGCAGCTCTGAGGTAGGGGCCTCTCCCCTCGTCAGCAGTGTCTGCGCAGGCAGCCGCGGGCCCTTGGTGAGCGCATGTGCCGGTGACAGGGATGAGCGCCAGCTTGGGGGCTGCTGTGGAGACTTCAGCTTTACATGATAAAATCAGAGATCCCAGGGCTACATTTGGGGGTCTGTTACGGCAGCGCTATCAGCTGCTGCTCCCCAAAACTGAAGTGAGGAATGCTCCAACAGAGGCTGCGCGGGGGTCCTCCTGGAGGGAAGGGTCCAAGCGGAAGAACCGCGCCCCCGCCCCCGCCCAGGTGCCGCTCACCTCACTCCTGCCGCGCTCCGCCGCGGCAGGCAGTTTCCGTGAGTCCATTTGCCAGGAGAGCTTGAGGTCCTGATGGGACTTAAGATAGTTTATTAGCAGCCACTCCTGCATGGCCTGTAAGTAATTCTGAAAGTGGCTTCTAAGGTGGTGGCACGTGCACAGTAGACGCGACCCCATTTCTGAAGTTTTGTGCCGAGGCGGGTTTGCCCGTGACTGAGTCCGCAGCAGTGCAGGGCAGCAGCGCAGCGCCTGGAGCCACACTGGGGGCCCAGCCTGGACCAGCGCCTTTGGTGTTTGACTCCGCTGGGGGCTGGTGACTGAAACTCTCTGCTTATTGTTTGTCAAAGCAAGATGATGGTATTTACGTCCTGAGGCAGCGCTGAGGCTCGGGAGTCGCGCCTGCAGACGCGCCCACAGCACCGTGGCGCCTTGCGTGGTCTGGTCAGCATCAGGATCGCTTTTGATTGGTTCTGAAAGCAAAGCAGCTTCGTTTCCATGTACAGGGGACCTTGTCAGGTCACGGGCGGTGGCTGCTGAGTTGAGCACCCGGCACCTGCCAAACAGCCTGCGTCCTTGCATGAAACTTCTGGCCCCAGAGCGCCAGGGCGTGCGGATGGCCCCTCGCAGGCCCCGCCCAGGGGTGCCAGGCTTGACAGAAACACAAACTCAGCCTGTTCGAGCTTGAGGAATAGTATTTTAAGGCTGAGAGCATAACTTAACTTTCTTCAGACACTTAGTTTAGTGGTTTGCTTATTTTTAAACTTCTAGATATGATTGGTGGAATAACGAAAATTTTCCTCAAAAGTAGCATATCTGAAAAACGAGATCACTCAACTGAGTGTGTATATTCTCCTTTGCAGGAGACGTTGCAGTGAAGATCCTCAAGGTCGTCGACCCGACCCCAGAGCAGTTCCAGGCCTTCAGGAACGAGGTGGCTGTCCTGCGGTGAGTGGGCGCCACGCAGAGGTGCCAGCGCAGAGAACAGTGGCCGAGGGCCTGGGGCAGGGCTGCTGGCTGGGAAGGGCCGCTGAGAGTCCCCTGGGGAGAACCGCCTCTTAGGAGCGCCAAGCCTCTGGGAAGGCTCCTTTTCGAATCCCCTCGTCCCGTGCCTCAAGGCCCAGGTCACACTAAACTCGACAGCCTCGGTGCTGTTTGCACATTTCAGAGAATTGTTTCATAGCCAGGCTGCTTTATTCTGGACTTCAGGACCTTTGGCTTTCCAATCTGGTAGGAATAAAGAGCTGGATAATGAATTCCAGAATGAGGGGTCCCTTGTGCCCCTGCGGGAAGAACCGTGCGTGTGCACGGATCAGAGTCCTCTGCACAGCACCGGTGTGAACAGAGGCGGCGGACGGGGCTCCTGCCAGCTCAGCGCGCCAGCCGGGCTGTCAGCCGTCTTGTGTTCCATCTGCCGCCCACCCTGACTGAGCCCGGGGCAGTGGGCCTCTGTTGTGCAGCAGTGGGGGTTTCGAGCCTCTCCTCTCTCCCTCCTCAGCAAAACACGACACGTGAACATCCTGCTCTTCATGGGGTACATGACGAAGGACAATCTGGCCATTGTGACCCAGTGGTGTGAGGGCAGCAGCCTCTACAAACACCTACACGTCCAGGAGACCAAGTTTCAGATGTTCCAGCTGATCGACATTGCCCGGCAGACGGCTCAGGGCATGGAGTGAGTAGACGGCCTGGCGGGCCGCGGTGCGGGGAAGTGTAGGCCCAAGCAGCCCCCGGGCCCTGGACTGAAACTGGGATTCACTAGGAAGGGTCCTGTCTGTTCAGTGATTTCTGGGCTAAATTTTGTGCAGCTGAAAAGGAGCCACAGGGGTGTCCGGAGGGGACCCCTAATCAGGAATGAGTGTCAGGTTCCTGCTACTGCCCTGAAGTTAGAGCCAGAGAGACGGGCTGGTGGAGGGAAAACACTAAAAAAATACAAATTACCCAAGGAACCATTTAAACTGCAATAGAAGCAGGATGTTGAGGCTTTAAGAAATAAACATTTTGGGGCCTCCCCGGTGGCGCAGCGGTTGAGCGCTGGGTTGCGAAGCTGCCCGCGGCCTCTGCGGTGCCGGTTCGATCCCCGGCTGCTCCCCGGCCACCAGAGGAGGGTCCCACATGGCGCGCAGACCTCTCCTGCCGCCCGCTGCTCCCCTCAGCAGTGTCCTTCGGTCCTTCTGCCTGCTCTGCTCCCCGCTCTGGCTCTGGTGAATTCTCTCACCCTCCCGCGCTTCTGACTCTACCCAGTGCATGTATAAACAAACAAACAAATAAATAAAAACAAAACAAACAAACAAAAAAAATATATATACACAATAGACTACTCAGCTATTTAAAAAAAAAAAAGTGAAAAAAAAAAAAAAAAGAAAGAAACATTTTGAAATGGTTGCCACCATAAAAGGATTCAGCTAGAGGTGCAGAAACAGTGGGGTTGGCATCTTCTGCTCAACCATGGCAGCACCCTCCGGGGGCACCGGATGGGAGACACGCCCTGTGCGCAAGTGTGCTCGCTGCACGCGAGGTCAGACGCCACGTCCAGAGAATGGACGTTCCTTTTGGCGAGGGCGCGGGGGTGGTCCTCAAAGCCTGTGTTAGACTCCACCCTCGTGTGTCTGTGCTGACGCTGCATGTGAAAGGTGTTGGGGTGCGCCTGCCTGTGCGCACCCCATGCTCCCCTGGCCCAGGGCTTCAGACTTTTCCTCTAAAGCGCCCCCGTATGGAGGACCAGGAATTCGCACACCCCAGGCGGCAGGAGCTGGGCCCGAGTGTGCACCCAGCTGTTCTGCCTCGGGGTTCACGTGGCGTTTGAGTCTTTACAGCTCAAGGGGTAACTCATCAGGCTTCCTGTAACCATGCAGATGTGCCGTGAAGCTCATGCTTTTTGTAAGGGCACCATCCAGTGGTTCTGGCTTAGTCAAGTGGCAGTCACCCCCTGACGTGTAGGGCATTTTGCGAGAGAAGAGGGCGGCTCGGCGTCTGGCTTTTGCACCGGGCATGTCTGCTAAGGCGCTCGGGCGGAGCACAGCGCAGCGCTACCTGCCTGTGGCGCCGCTCGCCAGCCGGGCCTGGCTTGGCAGCACTGCGTCGGGCATCACAGGTGCTGGGGCCTTATTACCCTTCTGGTAAGTCTTGAGTGAACCAGAGCGGGCCCAGCCCCCCAGGAGACCATATCCCCGGGAGCCAGGCCTTCGGGTGACTTTCTAGCTATGGTTTGAAACTACTTCTAATAGATGTATTTTCCCTTCACAGCTACTTGCATGCAAAGAACATCATCCACAGAGACATGAAATCCAACAGTATCCTTTGCTGGTGGTTTCATTTGATTCGTTTCTTAACTTAGGAAAACAAAGTGTCCTTTCCGGCTCTGAAAATGTGACTTTGGAAATATTTCCGGGAGTTGGGCTGTGGTGAAAGGGGCCTGTTCATCACTGAGCTCTACTGAGCTATTGTCTCTAGTTCTCATTGGCGCGCAGCGGTTATCTGGCCCGCTGGGAGCCAAACGTGGCAAGATTTTCAAATTCACTAAGAATTTTTTTTTTTTAATGCAGTGTTTTTCAACATCCCTGTTGCAGTCCGCCTCCCCCCAAGACTTTAATGTATTTTTGTGGACGGGGCCTGGATACAGGAACTTTTGCACAGTGCCTCCTCCCCGGGCCTTTCTCTTTGAAGGGAGCGTGGCGACAGGCCCCTGCTGCTTGGCCGGCCGAGGCCAGACGGTGGAGTTGGGGGTGGGATGTGGCCTGTTGAGGTGCAGGTCTCAGGCGTGGTACGCTACCTGGTAGCAGTGGGCTTTGGGCAACACATTCTGCCCTGCAAGCAGACACCAAGGGGCTCAGCAGATCACGGGCCTCGCCGGCTGGTCGGAAGCGAGACCACGGGGTCTGAAGGCACTGGGCGCTGCCCGTGTGAGGCCTCTTAGGACAGCGCTGGGTGCCAGGCGAGCAAGCGGCGGGCCGGGCTCAGCTCTGGGGAAGGTAGCCCGTGCTCTTAAGAGTCTTGGGGCTTAAGGCATCTCCATGATACGTGGGGTGGCTACAAGGCCGGGGACCCGGCGTCTCGAAGCAACAGAGGGGTAAACGGGTTTGGTTCGGGGGAAGCCAGTCTGGTGTGCTACACCCCACCTGCCTCCCAGAGGGGACCCAGCAGCACTTTGTAAAACCCCGGCAAGTCGAGCACAGAGAAGGCGGAGGAGCGCTCCCGTGCCAGCTGAGAATGAGGAGTTTTTCGAGACGGACCGTCCTTTGAAGTCAGAGTCCTTAACAAGCATCGAGATATATTTCTTCATGAAGGCCTGACGGTGAAAATTGGAGATTTTGGCCTGGCGACAGTGAAGTCTCGCTGGAGTGGTTCTCAGCAGGTCGAACAACCCACCGGCTCTATCCTGTGGATGGTGAGGAGGCTGGGTTCCCACGGGCCTGCACCCAAACTCAAAGCATTCCTGTGCGTCTCCCCGAAGTCCGGGTCAGCACAGACACGCCCCTAGGATCACTCTGGGGCGGAGCTGGGTTTCCTGGGGAAAGCTGGCATCAGAGCCACGCTGCGCAGACTTACGTGGGCGATGCACTGGCCCCTGGAGACTGGCCCCCTGAGCTCTTGGAGCCTGAGGCAGCGCCCTTTAGGGCCGAGCCAGGAAGGGGCAGAGGAAAGGGCCTGCCCACAGGGGAGCGACCACCTGCACTTTGTCCCCGTAGGCCCCAGAGGTGATCCGAATGCAGGATAACAACCCGTTCAGCTTCCAGTCCGACGTCTACTCCTACGGCATCGTGTTATACGAGCTCATGACGGGGGAGCTTCCTTACTCCCACATCAACAACCGAGATCAGGTACGTGCCCGGGGCAGAAGCGTCTCCCTCACCGCGGCCCCCCTGGCAGCCCGCCTGGCAAGCAGCGAGAGGGTGGGACGCTGTCACTTTCACTGTCTCCACCCGCCCCTCCCCGCCTGTTTCCCTTAGATCATCTTCATGGTGGGCCGAGGCTACGCCTCCCCGGATCTCAGCAAGCTCTACAAGAACTGCCCCAAGGCCATGAAGAGGCTGGTCGCTGACTGCGTGAAGAAAGTGAAGGAAGAGAGGCCTCTTTTTCCTCAGGTAAGACCAGCTCAGGAGTGCTGCGGCCCGGTGAGCAGGACTTCCTGAGCGCGAGGGCGGGGCTGGTGTCCTCACCAGGGTGAAGGCTGCCGACACCGAACACCGAGCCCCGGCGAAGACATACTTCTGTGACCTCGTTTCAGATCCTGTCTTCCATCGAGCTGCTCCAGCACTCTCTGCCGAAGATCAACCGGAGCGCTTCTGAGCCATCCCTGCACCGGGCGGCCCACACGGAGGACATCAATGCCTGCACGCTGACCACGTCCCCCAGACTGCCTGTCTTCTAGCTGACCGTGCACCGGCACTCGGGCCACCGGGGAGGAAAGGATGTCTGCGGGCACCGCTTTCCTGCTCCCCCGCTGCGGGGACAGAGAGCTCGTTTTCAGAGAAGCTGCTGCTAAGGACCTTCTGACTACTCACAGGGCCTTAACTTCACGTTGCCTTCTTCGACCCTGTCCGGCCCTGGGGAAGGAAGCCATTCACGACGCTGGTTTGTCCTGCTCCCTTCCTGCCTCCCCCACGCTCGTGAGCCAGGCCTTCTCCAGATGCACCGGTGACGGCCGACGGCAGCCCATGACGTGGGGCCCCAGCTGCTGGCCGTGTGAGTATTTTTAGGGCAAGAAAAAGCACTCAGGGGGGAGAAGAATGCAGCAGGCAAACCAGCCCTGATGTGGGGACATGGGTTTTGAAAATGGGCCCCTGTGAGGCCTGCTCGTCCCAGGAGGGACTTTGTTCGGGGTGAGCGGTGTGGGCCGGACAGGTGTTTTGCACAGGACACACCAACAGCCCGGGACTGTCAAGACTGACCGCCTGAAGGAGCTGCTTTGGCACCTGGACTTGGGCTTCGGGGGCACTTCCCTTCCTCAGAGGTCTCTCCCGGGCACTGGGATGGCTTCCTAGGAGCTGCTTGGCCTGCCCCGCCTACTCCCCCCGCAGGGAGCAGTCTTCCGTCATGCTGAATTTAGTCTTCCAGGAGCTGCCCCTATGGGGCAGGGCCGCAGGGCCAGCCTTGTCTCTGTAGTCACATCACCTGTATGCAAGGAAGCCAGAAATAGAGGTTTTCTTGATGATTTGGGTTTTAATTTTGTTTTTATTGCGCCTGACAAAATACAGTTATCCAGTGGTTTCTCAAGTACGTTATTTTAATAAAATAAATTAAATGTAGGTTTAGTGGCTGTTTCTCCAAAGCCGACCTCGCAGCCCGGACCCTTCCGCTGGCTTCTCCCCCTGGAGCAAACGCCACGGCGGGGAGTGGATGTGATTCAGCCTCAGGCACCCTCCACGCAGGGGCTAACTCTAAAGTACCGGGAAGCACGCCAACCTTGGGGCAGGAGAGACCTTTCTCCACCCACACTTGAAAGTAATGCGCTTTATAAAATATTTGGTAACTACAGCTGCTTACAAAAATAGACGGCTCGGGCTGGGAGCGCACGTGTTGCTCCACGAGGCTCTGCTCATTCGACTAAAGTCACACCGACGGCACACTTGGGCTCAGTTCTCTTTAGGGCCACCGCTGGGTCAGCACCAGAAACTCCTGGGTGCTTCTGGGTGCCCCTGGGATTTCTGCGACGTTTCAAACCAAAGCCAGGCTTTGCAGGAGAGAACAGACGGCTGAGCGCGAAGCGCTCGTTAGGGGAGAGCAGGCAGGCGTGATGGGCGCCCTCCGACCCTGGCCAGAGACCAAGGGCCGTGCCCCTGCGCGGCCACGCACGCCCCCTGCTCCCAAGAGGCCCTGCCTGAACATGCGGCCTGGGACACCACGCGCCCCGCCCCGCCCCACGCGCAGAGCTGCTCACCCAGCTTCTGAGCACCCGCTACTTAGCGCTCGCTACACAGGGCCCTGCCAGAGCCGAAGAGTCCCAGGGTAAGAAAAAGGATGCGCTGCGTGCGGGGCAGCTGACAGGCGATGGTGTCTAGGGAGCCAAAGACCAAGGAGGAAGGGAGCCAGGTTTGTTTTCAAAGCAAACGGCTTCTGGCTGACGCCCGAGGAGCTTGAGGTGCAACTTAGATACCGACTACGAAGGGAGAGACGCCGCACGCTTGTTAGGTTATGTTGTATCCCGCGCTTCCCACGGAGAGGCGACTAGACAAGGTTAATAAGTACAACTCCCCCCAAGTCCCGGCGCCACCTGGGCTGTGGCAAGGGACACGCCCTCGCTCGGGGACGGCTCCGCCGGCGCAGCCCGGGAGGCGGGGTCACTCAGGGTTCTGACGACTCCACTCCAGACAGGTGCATGAAGAGGTCCCCGAGCTCCGTCATGTCCACGTCTTCAGTGCTGCGCACCTGCTGGCTCTCCCGGTTCTCGATGAAGTCCCAGAGCCTCACGGAGTTGAAGAACTGCAAGACAGCCCGGGCGCCGGTGACTCGCGGGGCGAGGGCTGGGAGCCCCGCGTCCCTCCTGCCTGCCCGTCCCATTCCCTGCTTACGCTGCCCGCGGAGGGCCAGGGAGGCTCCCCGGAGATGCCACAACTCCGCACCCCTGGCTAGAGCGGGCCCCGGTCCTTACCCTCACGGTGCCTTCGGAACCCAGCTGCTTCCGAGGCTTCTCGGGCTCCGCGAGCCGCCCGTCGGGGTAGGCGTGGCGGTACAGGCACTTGCTTCCGAATGGGCAGGTCCCCTTGCCTTGTTCAAAGTATTTGCAAGCTTTCTTTCTGGAAAAAATGAGGATGATGGGAGAACTTGGGGTCCAGATGAACTGCCTTCCACGGCCCCGGCTAGGTGAGCCCCAGCACAGGCGGGGAAACGAAGGCTCTCAGAGGCGGGGCTGCTGGCTTCCGAGCAGACGTTCTGCCGCGCGGCAGTGAGCCTGCGCGGGGACGCCAGCACGTCTGTGTCCCCCGGGGCCTGAGGGGGAGACGGGCTTGAGGGTGCTTCTGGAGGCCGGTGACCCGCCTCGGGTCAATAGCCCGAAAGGAGCTTCAGGTCTCGTTCCAATTGCCCGCGGCCCCCGCGCTCTACAGACACCCCGGGACAGTTACATTGCAGCTCCTGGCAACGCTCACAGACCTAGCTGCGAATTCTAGCCACACGCTCCTGCTGAGAGGCCCTGCTGCCGAGGAAATGCCTTTCTTGTGGCTCCCATGTAACTTGGCTTATAAATGACCCCGAGCTGAAGAGGACGGGGTGCCGGGAAGGCAGAGGGCCGCCTGGGGGAGCCCGGGCAGCGCCAGATTGCAGGAGGGCGGCCCCGGGACAGGGCTGTCGGCTGCCGATCACGCCGGCGGAGAGGACAGGGGAGGGGCTCCTGGGAGTCCAGAGTGTCCTTCCTTCTCCAGGACAGCAGAGACAGGGGCACGGGTCTACAGACAGAGCTCAGGCAGCGCAGAGGCTGTGCACGAACCCCTCGCGCCCGTGGCACTGAGCAGACCTTCCCTCGACGCCTGGTGCCGCGGACGCCTCCCCTGGCTTCTCCGGCCCCCAGCCGCGAGGAATTGTTCTTTCTCTCCCCCAAGCCTGACACCAAGGGCAGAAGCCCCCAAGTTCCCCCCCATTCCCTCTTCTCGGCTCTCACATCAAACTGGTACTTGAGCGCACGAGCACTTCCCAGTCCACTGGCTTCCGTGCCCACAGCGTGCCCGGCCGTGCTGCTCTGGGAGACCACGGTCCGCCTGAGACTCAAAGGCTGTCTGCGCTGCAGGTGCCGCCGCGTGGCCAGGACCACTCCCTCCGCGGCCCGAGCACAACCCGCCCCCGCCCCGGGCTGCTCATCAGCTGTCCCTAGGACAGGACATTTGCGTCCTAGCTTCGTCCTCCAGCTGTCTCCCACAATCACCTGCCTCTCTACACCCTCCGCTGGCGCGTGGCCTGAGGGCCCCCGGGCCACCCTGGGCGCAGCTGATCGCACGCGTGTAGTCAGCCTTGCGGACAGAAAGGAAAGCCGGGGAGGGCCTGAGCCAGGCCAGAGGCTCCTTCCACAGACCCAGCCTCTGCCATGGGTGGTTGCGCTGGGGGGGGGGGGGGCGACGTGGTCCAACAGGAAAGCGTCAGATCTTCAGGAGTCTGATACGCCATTTAAGGGAACCATTTTCAAAAGGTGACCCTGTAGCTCCACCTCCAGTTCACCGAGAGAAAAGGGGGTGGGTGGGTGTGTGTGTGTGTGTGTGGGGGGGGGGGGCTGAGGCCCTCGGGACAGCACGGAAAGTCTAGAAAGTCTACCACAGAGTTCCAAGAAGACACCTCAGAAACATATTTCATGAAACAATGGCCACAATGTCTAATTCTGGTCAATGGCAAAGAGAGAGATTCAGAGACCAGCAAGAAGTTCCTGGGACAAAAGCCCTCCTTGGCAAAAGCACCAACTGCTGCTGACGGGGGAAGCAACCCCAGGCAAACACCACATTACAATTTTACGAACCAGGCTTCTCACAGAGGAACAACACTTGCAAAATTCTGAAGAAACAAAAACCATCAATTATTTTAAAAGGAAGCAAAGAGAACCAGCCAGAACAGTGTGTTTAATGCAAAGAGCCTTCAAAAAACCCCAAGGATTTATCACCAGCAGATCAGCGAGTGTTCAAGGACAGTTGCTGAGGAGAAGTTCTCTCTATGAAAAGCAATTACATGTCAGATGAAAGCACAGTGGAAAGAACACACAAACACTGCAGCCACACGCCAGTGAACACACATGATCAACCCACACAAAAATGTAACTGCCTTTCTCTACATTACCGAGGAATGGCTGGGAACATATAAAGCAACCCGTTACCAATGCGTGCATCTAGGAGCAGATACTCTAAGGAGGTAAAAGACGGGCGATCTGATGAAAGAAATCCAAGAGTACAAAGAGACACTGTTCTCATGGACCCAAGAATCAAAGCTGTTACAAGTCACCCTCACCAAGACCGCGGTTTCCGTCTCATCCCCAAGTCCCTCCCGTGACCACAAAGGCCCACGGGGCCCCTGCCTCCTACCTGCCCTCACGCCCACGGCTCCTCCCCCTGCTAACCCTGAACACGGCAGCCACATGCTGGCCTCATTCTTGGCAGTACCCATTCCTTCCTTCCAGAATGTTCTCCACTCACATGGGCACGGCTGGCTGAGTCACCTCCCCATCTCCTTTAGGACTTTGCTCGAAGTCACTTCAGAGGCTTCGCTAGTGGCCACCACGAAACCTGAGTCCCCCCCAGCCCCCGGCCCCGTAACTTCTATACCGCGCGCCCAGGCTGCTTTTATCCTTTACCCCTGATGACAACCTAATCAATATTTTCTTTATCTTGTTTTTTATTCTGATTAATTTCGTCCACGAGCACATCAGCCGCAAGAGGGGCTGTGACCTGTCTGGTCTGGTCAGCGTGAATCCCAGCCACTAGGAAGGGGCCGTCAGCTGTCCCATCCGTATTTGTTGACTAAATGAATGATCACAGACAACAAGTCGACCATAACACCAGAGACAAGATTTCTAGGGGCCATTTCTCAGAGGAAATTAAACAAGTGCACTTCACCATGGGAGGACGATGGCCTTGCTCATCTCTGTACCCCCAAAGCCCAGCTAGGATTCCCAAGAACAGGAAGAGACTGAGTGACTCAGGCCCCCAGGGCCACATTGCGGGGGGGGGGGTGGGGGCGGGGGGCTGGCGCGGGGGCCCTGCAGGCGGCGGCAGGCACCGGGACTATGGCTGAAATCAAAGCACTTACCCCATGCCTTGTTTGAAAGCTTCAATCAACTCATTCTTTTTATTCTGGTCTTCCACCCAATACACACTTGGAATTACAAACTCTGATATGACACGGCATTCCGGACAAGACCTGGAATGAGTTAGGAAGGGAGACCTTAAGTCACAAATCCGAGCACGTGCTACTTCTAAACCCTTGTGCAAATTCATGACCACTCCAGGTGCTGACGAACCCCAAATCCCACAGCTAGAAGGATTCAATCAGCTGTCACCAGCCAGCGAGGAGCCTCACTTAACTGTTAATGTTCTTTGACCACACAGATGGGTGCTGCACGTGACCCCCCCACCTGTTTCCTTCTCGGTAAGCGAGGGGAGCTCGCGGTGGCTGAGGACGTGGGTCTGGGGACATCTGCCAGTACCCAGCCCGCGGTCACGTCTCAGCGCCACTCACTTCTCCCCGCCCCGCCGCGGAACTGAAGACTCCGCACCGTCCCTGCGTCCTCTGTATCTCAACAGGGGAAGAGAACCCTGTCGGCTGTTACATGAAAGGTGGTATGTGGATCATTCCGTTCGGTCCTCACATAACCCATTTCACAGATGAGAACTTATAAAGGCCCAACAAACAGCTTCAGGGCAGGCTGCCGGTCACTGTTAGTGCTGGGGCCCCGCACACCACCCTCGACACTTCCTCTCACATGGTCCCTGCTCAGTGTGTCCCCAAGACCCTGCAGGCCGGGCAGGAACGGTCACCTGCATTTTAAAGGAAAAGGCACTGAAGATACGTGATGTTCTCACACAGCCAGGGGTCAAGACTCATCAGCTTTCTTTGCACTAAAACGCCTCTGGAAGACCAGGGAGGCTTCCGCCGGGACGAAAGAAGGCAGCCCTCCGCAGCTCAGACCCGCGCTGCACTTACTTAATGATAGGGTTCTCGAACTGCTTGGCACAGCGCCACTGGCGGATGCAGGACAAGCAGTACGTGTGGTTGCAGTTGGAGAGAATCCCGAATCTCCTCTCGGAAGCAGATGCCTTCTCGAGGATCACTTCCATGCAGATGCTGCACACTTTGTCCTGACTTGCCTGGAAGGCGAAGGCCTTTTCCATCTCGTGTTCGAATGTTGACATGCACATCTGAGTACAGAGGGGTAAGGAACTCTCTCAGGCTCTGGGCAGCTGGGAGAGCCCAGAACAGTGGCCGGTCACTGCCACAGCCTGACGAGGAGGCAGCACGAATGGTGGCTCCTTGAGGCTGGACCAGCAGTCCCTGGATTCTGACACAAAGTTCTCCAGCCACAAACAGAACCCCAACCATCACTGGTCCGGGCCTTGTTTTCTGAGCATGACACAGTCACCTCCAATCAGAGCTGAGATAGTGGAGGTCCCAAAAGGTTAGAGGACTGCTGTGGGGGTCACAGATTCCCCGTCCTGACACCCTGGTCTCCTGGCTCCCCTCACAACATCAGAAATGCTGAGCAGCCCTTCACCTGAAGCATCAGTCCAGAGTCGGAGGGAAGTAGTAGTTATTTGATGGATTCATTCACTAAGTGAGCAGGTACTGAGCAGCACCCGCACGCAGCTCTGCCTACCAGGCCCCTGGCCCTGGGAGCCAACAGTGGAAACTTGGGTCTGAGACAAACCAACACACCAAAGACAAAGACCACACAAAGCCTGGGCACAGGGTGCTCTCACTTGAACAACCCTAGGGGGATGGCGGGTCGCAGGCTCAGAGCTGTGGGGCTCCTCTCCGCCCCACCCTTCCCATCTGCGCAGTCTCCAACCAAGCAGAGCCTAGCGTGAGGCCACGCCTCCACCAACACTGGGGACCGAACAACCTGGAAGGTTCCTTCAAACACTAGCTCCTCAGATTCTCTGATTTGGGTTCCTCAGATTCTCCAAAACCCAGCCTGACTGGACTCCAGCGACCACTGCACATAAATCTAAGGCTGGAGAATGCGCAAGACAAATGCCCCCCCCCCCCCCCCCCGCGCCGCATCTGTTCTCTGAACTTTGTGTTGTTTTATGTTTCCAGTACCTCTTTAGTCTACATAATCAAAAACTCCCCAAATGACAACAGAAGTGACCTGACAAGGTGTAAACGTGCCGGCGACAACGCAGGCGTTACTGCAGAAACACCAGCCATCTTCTCGTGCGCCACATTTCCAATTTCTTAAAACAAGTTTATGCAAAGTCGTGCAACTTTACCTTCTCATGAGCCTTCCTCTGCTCTGGGTCGAAGGGGTGCAGGACTTGTAAGCTACAGATCTCACACATGTCGCCGTGCAGGTAGACACAGGCCTCCCCAAACCGGCACTCCCCAGCAGCCGCGTACGGACAGAGCTGCTGCTCGCTGCCATAGGAGCTGCTGGCTTCCACGCTGTCCAGGCCGCTCCTGATGGCGTCCAGGTAGGAATGCGGCTTCACCTCCGGGATGCTCTGGGGGTTGCTGCAGCCTCCAGGGCTGCTCACTGCACTCGCGCAAGTCTTCTCTTCAGCCAGGCCGGAGAGATCTTGCCATGGAACACACAGCACCGAGACAAGTGAAAACCCGCCCGAGCTCTCTGGTGAGCACTGAAGCAATAGCTAACAAACCAGTCAACTCTGGCCTTGGGAATGTCTCTCTCGAGAACATATAGAAAAACAGGTAGGCCAAGAGGGAAAAAATAAAAAGAAACAGCGTAAAATGTTCATAGTGATAGTCTTATAATACCAAAACCCGCAAGTGGCAATATAAGGAAACAGCAAAACCAGCCATGTTGTATTTACACAAAGCACTAAAGCTGCTGTTTAAACTGAACCAGGGAGATGTCAACAGCTGACACAGAAGTGGATGTATCTATTGTTGCCCCACACACACACGTGCGCACACACACTTAATATGTTTAATACATATGTTTTTATATGCACAAAAGTCAAAGGAGCTCCTCCCTTCCCCCAAGCCAGGAGCTACTGCTCTCCCCACTCCACGCACGTCTGCCTCTGAGAGGACTGGTAGATCCCAGGCTTGCTTAGGATGGACTCTCTCTCCTGTTACCCAGTTCCGAGAACTAAAATACCGTCACTTGCTAAGGACCAGATAATGAAAACAACTTCCATGATGTGCAGCCTTCCCTCTCCTCAACCAGGACAGGTGCACACCACTCCCCAAACCCCAACAAGCTATTCAAAGGTGCAAATTAAAACACCAAACACTGGTTCAGCATATGAATGAAGACTAAGAACTGATCTAAAAGTCAGACATGCTCTTCATCAAAATATACAGCTTTAAATTGAGTAACTTGGGGGCTTCCCTGGTAGTCGGGGTTAAAGTCTCAGCGCTATCAAGCTATTGCTAGCCACTGTAGCGCAAGCTCAATCCCCACGCAGGGAGCAACCCACATGGCGCAGCAGACCCCTCCTGCCTCGCCCGCTGCTCTCCTCGGCAGTGTATTTCAGTCAGTCTGCCTGTTCTGCTTCCCGCTCTGCCTCTGGTGAATCCTCTCATCCCCATACCTCTGGCCTGTACCCCAGTTCTTGTATGCATAATAAAAAATAAATCTTTTTTTAAAGATTTATTTATACAAGAACCGGGGTACAGGCCAGATGCGTGGGAGGATGAGAGGATTCACCAGAGACAGAGCAGGGAACAGAACAGGCGGAACTATTGAAATCTACTGCTAAGGGGAGCAGCAGGCGCGACAGGAGAGGTCTGCCACACCATGTGGGTAGCTCCCTGGCCGGCCAGGATCCAACTGGCACTGTAGAGGCTGTGGACAGCTTCACAGTGCTGTGCTCAACCACCTGCGCCACCAGGGGAGGCCCATAAAAAATAAATCTTTAAAAAAATAAATAACTTGGGGTTTCTCAAAACTGGTCAACTGCTCTAGGCAGACAGCAGTCACAGGCTGACCGAAAGGCCACTTTCTGATTGCCAGGCCAAACAAGGGGCTCTGCCCAGCTTTGGGCATGAGGTCAAGGGGAGGGCCCGATGCCGAAGTCCCATAAAGCCTGTCTCAGGACAGCTCTGCTTCTCTCCAGCTGGACAGGGTGGAGCGGCCAGAGCCGTCCTGCCAAGAGGCTGGAAAGGAGCACCCAGGAAAGCAAGTCAGCTTGTCAAAAAGGCAACAAAGGATTCTGTTCACTCACTTCGATCTCTAAGTACCAGGGTTCTCTTTTCACGTTTCCCAGGCTCGTGTAAATTTGTTTTCACAATAGTTGCAGTGAGGTCGGAAGGAGGGTGAGGGCTGTGGAAGCCAGGGGCGGGCACAGCGTGGGACACGGTGCCCACAGCACCCCCCGCCGCCGCAGAGGGCCTCGTGTGATCGTACCTAAACAGAACACAGCAGACGTCTTACAGACACAGCCCACCAGGCCTCCCACACACCCCAGGCATGCGAAGCCCCCTCTCCCGCTCCACTCATGCAGGCGGAGAAGGAGAAAACCTTTTCCCATGATTTAAGCAGTAACAGGCTGATGCGTTAGTAACAGCTGCGTGGCAGTTCAGTGAGCGTACATGCCATCCATCACCTACATCAGGTGACCTTGTAAGACAGACACACTGCCCTGGAACACACACAGCCAGCCTGGAAGCTCGAGAGTTGTGAAATCCCCTGACATCCAAGGCAGTACTCTTTAGGACAGCAGTCCCCAAATGGTGCTGATGGCCGCCGTAACAGCTGGAGCCCAGCCTCTCCGGGCTGTGTCTGTGGGGTGCCCAGGAGCAGTGGGAAGGGCACGCAGGCCATCATCCCCCAGGCAGCACAGATCAGTTCTTTACTACAGAAGCATAGGAACAGGTTGTTGGAATGTTTTTTTGCCTAGAAATTAAAAGAGCTGCCGAGGGATATCAGTGGAAAAAGGGAAGACTCTATATGTACATACATGCTGACTGCAGGGGTCCTCATAGCAAAAACTGGAAGCCACATATATCTCCAACAGAGGGCCATTTAATAAAACAACATGTTGACATTACAAAACAAACAAAAATGGTTAGCACGGGTAAGGCAGCAGCATGTCAAGTGGGAAAAGAGCAAGAGAGAAAATTTCATGTCTACTGTGAAAGAAATCTGATAACTACAGACCCAAAAGAATAAGGCCTGAAAAGTGAGTCTGAAAAATTAAAATTATTTTTAGAGTACTGAAATTGAGGCTTTAAAACGATCCCCTCATCAAGACCCATGCTCGGAATAAAGGATCTGAACCCGTGATGGTTCCACTCAGGTTAACAGCTGGGGAGAGTTGTGGGGTTCTTGCCTGCAACGAGTTCCGTAGGCGCAATAGCCCTTCTGATAGTACTTGCAGATGGTGGATGGCTTGCTGTTTGCCAGGTCATGTGAGAACAGGCACTGGTTTCCTTCCCGACACACACCATGCATGAAATACCTGGAGACAAGCAGACACAGAACCCTGAGAAATGCACTTCCTAAAATCACCGTATTCCTGATCGCAGCAGACAGACATCCATCACGTGCTGTGAAGTATCACGGCTCTACTGGCCACTGCAGATACAGATGCACCTCAACCAATTCAACAGCAGTTTTTCTGGTAGAAAAATGACACCATAATTTTCTATTTTAAGGTACATCCTCTTGATTTATGTTACATATGTAAAATGCGAGCCTCCTCCTAAGAAAATATCCTCAGAAACCACCACTCTGTCCTTTGGAATTAAGGGGTAAAGTTGTGACAGATCTGGGCTCAAGATTCAGCTCTGCCTGCAAGGCACAGAGCCGTCTCTGGGCCTTACTAACTTTAACAGTATACTCTACAGTGAAAGCTACACTACCCACTACTTCACTGGGTTGTGGCAAGGATCAAAAAGAGAGCGTAACACCAAAAGACACCTGTCTGTGTGTGTTTGTGTGGGTCTGTACCAACAGATCTATATACATATATAGATACATATGTAAAAGAATGTCCACTAAGATGTTGAATTTTGCCCTTGAAGGAATAACTGGGAGGTATTTTACTTCTGCCCAGTCAGAGCAGAGATGGGTTGAACACTTCAGAGCAAACCAGAGTGACCCTGGAGGGGCATTCCTTGACAGTAAGGGCAGTAACTTCTAAAGTAAGAGTTTTTAGATCCACCCTAATAAAGTTTACAAAAAAACATCTAAAAGGACCAAGCTGAAAGCAAATAATTTACCAGTCAAAAGGAGCTGTAACATTTCTTCGAAGGAAGGAAGACAAACAATGCTCAAAAACCACTCACAATGTGTGGCATAAAATCCAGGCTTACCAGACATGCCCCAAGCAAGAAAATGTGACCAACAATGAGGAGAAATCTCCTCAGTAACAGGAATGACAGACGGACTCAGCAGAAAAGGATTGTTTTAAAACAGTTTTATTAACATACTCATTATGTTGAAACATTTAAAGAAAACATGAATACAATATGGAGAGAAATGGAAGATTTTAAAAAAGAATCAAACTGGTCTACAATATCTGAAATGAAAATCACATGGATGAGCTTAATAGGCTTCGTGCTACAAAAGATAATCTCAAAAAACATTAAGACAGCAATAAAAGGAATCTAAAGTACAAAGAGGAAAAGAAATATTTTTGTTCCTAGCTGTAATTTGTCCTCAAAGATGAAAATCTAGAAGACAGAACAAAAAGTAAGAAACAAGTGGTTTTAGACATGGGCAAGAGGCCACACAGGCCTGGCCCTTGAGAGGGGGAAACAATGGAGGTGAGCCCCGGGTTCAGCCCAGTTTCCTGCCTGGAGGCAAACATGCTGGACTCCAGTCCAGGGAGGGAAGCGCCGCAGAGCACAGCAGGTTGGCACAATCCAAGAGGCAGAGACTGGCAATTCAATGAGGTTCAGAGGTGGCTCTTTAAAAAGCCCGCAACAGAATCACCCATACTTGTCAACAGACTTGAAAAAGGTGTCAAGGTAATTAGTGCAGGAAAGAACAATATTTAAAATAACCGATGCTGGACCTCGTATCTCTGTGGGGCAAGGGTGGAGGGAAGGAGCACGATGCGACCCCATGGATCAGGTTCACAACGAAACTTGTGATAGGTTTTTTTTTTTTTAAAGATTTATTTATGCATACAAGAGCTGGGGTACAGGCCAGAGGTGTGTGGGGTGAGAGGATTCACCAGAACAGAGTGGGGAACAGAACAGGCAGATGACTCAAGTGCACTGCTGAGGGGAGCAGCGGGCGAGTCAGGAGAGGTCTGCTGTGCCATGTGGGTTGCTCCCTGGCGGGCTGGGGATCGAACTCATGCTACAGAGGCTGCGGATTGCTTCATAATGCGGTGCTTAACCCCTTGCGCCACCAGGGAGGCCCATGATGTGTTTTGGCCAAAAACATTTAACATGAATCCAACGAAACTCCAGATCTAATTCCCAGTTTACAGGAAACATGGGGCAGGAAGAAACTAAAAGACATCACGAGGAAGCAAACAAAAATATGAAAGAGGTAGTATGTGGCCTGGTCTCTTTCAACAGTCTCTTGGGGAAAAGGGGTGGACGTGGGTGCTGAGTCTGGAAAACAATATGGTGGTTTCTCAAAAGCTTAAGCAGAAATTTACCATATGACTCGACAATCCCACTCCTAGATGTTTACCCAAGAGAAATTAACATATATGTTCACACAAACACTTGCACACTAAGACTCACAGCAGCACAATTCATAATCGCCCAAAGGTGGAAGCAATGCAAGGGCCCTGCTTCCAAGGACAAACGACAGACTCAATGTTGGTAACACATACAACAGAAGATTCAGATTTAAAAAGGAGGGAAACACAGACATATGATCTGTCATGGATGCAACCTGAGAACATTGTGCCAAGTGAAATCAGTCATAAAAAGACAGAGGCTGTGATTCCACGTACAGGAGATCGTGAGAGCAGTCAAGCTCACAGACACAGAAGGCAGAATGGTGGTGGCCGATGTGGGAGTCAGTGTTAAGTGGGCCCGGAGTTTTAGTCTGGGAAGACACAAAAAAGCTCTGGAGCTGGTGGTGGGGATGGTGGCACAACAGTGTGAATGTACTTCATGTAATAGAACTGTACATCTAAAAAGGTGTTTTTGAAAAATAAAATGGCATAGAAATGCCATTTTAAATGTATTTTTAAAATAGCACATACAGTAATACAGTATACAATCTCATTTTGGTAAAAAATAAATATGAAAACTATACACACACTTAAACAATTGCAATTAAAAAATTTGGAAATACAATAGTATGTCAGGAGGAGTAATTTTTGAGAGTAATGTGGATGGTCTGCTTATTTTCTTATTTTTGTTGATCTATACTAACATTTCTACCATGAACACATATTGGATTTGTAATAAAAAGTTGTTATTTTAACTTTTATATACTATCCAGAGCTGATGAAGATTTGGTTAAAAAAAAAAAAAAAACAAACTGATCAGTGTATCAAAAAACCAGAATCGAAAGTCCAGAAGAAATCCACACATATATCCATATTTAATTACTGATTAAAAGGCCACAATGGGGGGCCTCCCCGGTGCTGCAGCGGTTGAGTGCCGGATTGGAGAGCTGCCCACAGCCTCTGCAGTGCTGGTTCGATCCCCTTGCTCCCCGGCCACCGGAGGAGGGTCCCACATGGCGCGCAGACCTCTCCTGCCGCCCGCTGCTCCCCTCAGCAGTGTACTTTGGTCCTTCTGCTGTCCTGCTCCCCGCTCTGGCTCTGGTGAATTCTCTCACCCTCCCGCGCTTCTGACTGTACCCAGTGCTTGTATAAACAAACAAACAAACAAATAATCCTTTAAAAAAAAAAAAAAAAGGCCACAATGGGGGCCTCCCTGGTGGAGCCACTGTAGCAGCAGTTTGATCTCCGGACAGGGAGCTAATACTAATACACATGGCGCGCAGACCTCTCCTGACTCGCCTGCTGCTCCCCTCAGCAGTGTATTTCAGTCAATCTGCCTGTTCTGCTCCCCACTCTGTCTCTGGTGAATCCTCTCACCCCTCTCCCCCCATACCTCAGCTCTTGTATGCATAAAATAAATAAAAACTCTTAAAAAAAAAAGCCACAATGATATAATGGAGAAAAGAAAGTCGCTTTAGCAAATGGTGCTGGGAAAACTGGACGGTCACATGTGAAAGAATGAAGCTGGATCACTCTCTAACTCCATGCACAAAAACAAATTCCAAAAGGATTAAAGACTAAAAACAAGCAACAATGAGAGATACAGAAGAAAACACTGGCACTGTAGTTCATGACATCAATGATAAATCTGTTTTTAGAGACTTGACACCTACAGCAAGGGTAAAGAGAGCAAAAAATAAACAACTGGGATTACCTTAAAAGAGTTTACATAGTAGTAAATTTAAGTATATTAAAAAGACATCTACTCACTGGAACAAAGTAACAGACAAGAGGTTAATATCTAAGATACACAAAAAATTGTTCAATTTAACAAAAAACCCTGGTGCGCGGTGGGTTGAGCGCCACACTGTGAAGCTGTCCACAGCCTCTGCAACACGGGTTCGATTCCCGGCCAGCCAGGGAGATACCCACATGGTGCGGCAGACCTCTCCTGACCCGCCCACTGCTCCCCTCAGCAGTGTCTTTGGTCGTTCTGCTCCCTGCTCTGTCTCTGGTGAATTCTCTCATCCTCCTGCTCCTCTGACCTGTACCTCAGTTCTTGTATAAATAAATCTTTAAAAAACAAAATCCCAGCAAACCCAACTAATAAATGGGCAGAAGATATAAACTGGCCAATTCAACAAAAAGGATACCCAGAAGGCCAATAGATAACATGGAAGAATGTTCAATCATTACTTTTAATAAGGAAGACGCATGTTGAAGCCACAATGGGGTATCACCTCACACCTGCGAGAATGGCACATAGTAAAGTCACCTCCAGTCACAAGTGCTGGAATGCATGTGCAGAGAGAAGCCTGTCACGCTGCTAGTGTAATTGACACAGCAATTTGTAAAGTGCCTGGATTTACCTTGAGGTAAAAACTGAAATACCTTTGGATCAGTAATCCCACTCTTGGGCATCTACCCCAAAAATTTACATGCTCTACAACATTTATTGCAGTAGTATTTGAGACAGCTAGGACATGGAAGCAGCCTAATGCCCACGGAGAGAGGAATGGATGAAGATGCGGACACATGGAAATATTATTCAGCCATAGGGAAGATGAAATGTTGCCATTTACAGAAGTGAGAATGACAGACAGCAGGGGACATTTACATAACGGGCCATTCACCAAAGCAAAGTACTCAGATGAAGGCCTGATGAGGATACACTGATGTTGAAATAAACAGAAGGCTGGAAGGACAAGGAAAGAACTGGTGGGTGTAAATGTACACAAGGCAGCAGACACCACTCCAGCGGCTTAAGGAATCATGTTACCTGGTCTATCGTACACTCTAGAGTTAATGGAGACTTT